AGCACTTCCACCAATCCTCAGCGAATCAAACTCAGCAGGGCTCTACAGAGGTCATGCACCTATAGGCCTATAGGCATCCAACAAGCCCCAAAAGCTGCCACGCCTTCGCTAAAGCTTGGACCGGCTTGAACCCTACGAATTCACCTCTGTACCAACACAGCACAGGCCGCGGAAGCAGCGCAAGGAAGCTTCGAGGCGCCTCGGGGCCTGGAAGAGCCTGGGCCTTGCTTGGGCTTACACTCGGGAACTCCGTGCCCCAGTGTGCCACGTCACTGATCACTTCCGTGGGGTCCACCGGCCAAACACAAAGCGTTGAATGCAACACCGCCCACAACTTGTCGGCAACATCCATGAAAATCACGGACCCGCGGACTTTCGAGCGATGCACGCTTCCAACACTGCAGACCCACCGGGCAACACGGTGCCGAAAATTGATGCATCCCAAAGCCTTCTGAGAGGGCTGCCATTTTACAGGACGGATCGTGCTGAAGCTGTCAGTCCAAAAACGAAAAAGACTGCAAGCAATACATGACGAGCTTCCGTCGCCGTGCATCACATGAGGTTACAGCCTTGGCTGCATGTCTCATCCAAGAAGCAACACGACATCAGAACAATCTGCCAAGTTGCCCAAGTGAGTCAGGCCCGCCATGCAACAACCTTCAGGCTTGGCCGCCCACGCCTGATGATGTCCTGGCTGGATGGTACTCGGACAATCAAACCGTTCTGCAACACGGACATACGGACATGCGACGTGACCCTCTTAGACTTAGACCCAAGACATTCGACAACGCAATGTGCAATCAAGTGTGTGGCCTGTGTCCTTTCGCTGTGCACGAAAAAGGATCAGAGTCACATCGTCCTGGGAAAAGAACATGAGGTGATGCGAGAAATGACAACCCCCACCCCTGCACGGAGCTGAAATACCCATAGAAGTCCAAGCTTTCATGTGCGAAAAATCGAGTTTTGGCACAGCGCGGCCCTGAAATCGAACATGTTTCTTTCAGGTAAACACGGCAAAACCCGATACGAAATGCACATCGCAGATTTGTTGTCCAGACGGCCATGTGCCAAAATTCGAAGTTTAAACTTTTCAGTCCTGAAATGGCTCCACCCTCCGCGGTGGCAGACGCACCAACTGCCAACAGCAGCAGCAACAGCAACAGCAACAGCAACAGCAACAGCAACAACAACAACAACAACAACAACGGCAACGGCAACGGCAACGGCAACGGCAACGGCGACGGAAGGGCAAAAGTTGTCCAGGAAGCTTCTCTACATGCAGTACACGGATACCTTCAGCCTACAAAAAAAGAAACATGCCCTCCGCAGCGGCTCAAATGTTTGCCGGAACTCAGTGCAGCAAGATTGCTGGTTTGGTGGTTCGGCAAGAACAGCCGCAGATTCTCGCAACTGCCCGTAGTGAAACGAATTTACATCTTGAACTGATCTGCAGTCTGAACTTCAACTCAACCAAGCCACGCAGTAATGCTCCTCGAACTGACTCCATCTTTCTTTGGCACGCTCGACGACTCTGCTCGTGGCCACCTCCAGCGAGTCTCCCGCTGCGATGGCACCAAGCACCTGATCAGATAGGTGATAGGTGCTTTGCACATAACAGACAGAAGAAAAACACCTGCAACTCGAGGTACTTCCAACGACCGGAGTGAAACCCGAACTGTTTCAGTCTGCACTGAACAGCTGCTGGCTGGACGGTCTGAGTGCAGACTGGACTCCAACTCACTCACTTCATCAGAGCTGAAGCAGTCCCAAATGCCATCGCTCGCAATCAGAACGTAAGCGTCAGGGTAGTCAGTGGTACTCCAGCAAAGAACCTCCGGCTCTGCGATGACTCCATGATCCTTCACGCAGAGATCACCCAAGGATCTCGTCATGCAAAGGCCTGGAAAGTCTTCCCCCTGAATGAAGAGGCGCTCCTCGACAAATCCGTCCTCGTGAATTTTCCTTTGGATTTCAACACCAAGAGTCTCCAACCTCGAGCGTTCCGTCTCCACCGACGGCTTGTGATCTGCGGTTTGCAGGACGGCACCCTTGCCAGGAACCATCAGCACAGCCCTCGAATCTCCCAGATATGCTGTCCAGATCTTCTCATGTTGCGGATGTTGCAGCACGCAAACAGCAGTGCTTCCGCACACTTGCAGCTCCAAATCTTGCTGAATGGACTCTCTGACCAAATCCATTTGAACCTTCTCGAAAGCATGATACAAGGCTGCTTCGACTCTATCTTGCTTCAGCATTGTGCTACAAGCCTGTGTGGCTTCCAGTAGATAAGGAAGGGTGCGAGAGGCCCTGGCTGCAGGCCAATGGCCAGCGTCACCATGGCCATCAAAAAGGCAATAGACGTGCCAGCCAGATGGTAACACCGAGATGCTGCAACTGTCCTGACCAATGGACCTGTCTCCAAAGCCTTTCACACCCTTCATGTTTACCGCCCCAACACCAAAGCCCTTCAGCCAGGACTTTCCGCTGACGCCCAAGCCCAATCCCCGTCGTGGCCGCACCTGCCAGGCCCTGCGGGTGTAAGGAGCCTCCCTCGACGAGTGATCCGTCGGCAACTCCGAAAAGACGTGCCAACTCCTCCCACTCCACATCCCGTCCTCGGAGGCTCTGAGAATCTCTTCAAATTTCAGCACATACCCCCACCCCCCCCCCCACAGACCAACTTTTGACATCTGTTAGCAGCCAGTGTCCATCGCCAGCTCGGACGTGTCCTCGAGCTTGTACCTGGCTTCACCCTGCATGACCTGTCAACATCGCAACCACAGGATACCGCAGGATACCACAGGAAAATAGAGAACTTACACAGACGGCGCCTTCAGAAGCTCATGCATCTTGTGCATTCTTGACAATGCTTCCGGCGGGACGGCTAGCCTGGTAGGATCTGGTAGGAGCGAAATGATTTCATGCAGACTCGCATGGAGTCGAAGCGGACCTGCAGAATCTCTCGGTCTGCCCACATTGCCACCCTGCAGTCGGCGCCGTGTGCTGCTTGGAAAACCTGGTTGTCGATTGGCAAAGCACGAAGGAACGCTGGAATCTGCAACAAGTCACTCAAATGGAAAACCAGCCCATGGCCATGGCACGATTTCCGTCGCTCGGATACCGCTTCCTCTGACAGTTCCGGGACAGTCCCAACTGTGGTCATGCGCCTGAAGAGGTGTCAGTCTGTCCATCATCATGGCATGTGCCACTGCATGCCGCAATCCCCACACCTCTTCTGGACGGGAGAATCGGCCATGCTGCTCACGAGCGGGGAATGGGCGAGTCAGGAGCCGACGGGAATCCTTCGGGGGCCTTGTGTTCTGCTTCACTCATCTTGGCTGGTATCGCTAAGACCAGCCTGTTTGGGCTTCCCCAAGTGTTGAGGTTTGCGGCTCGGTCTCATACCGCGGCCGATTGGATTACGGTGCGGTAGTTCGTAGTTGTTCGTCAATCAGCGGCACTTCAAAATTGGATAAGTTTGATCCACTCCCAGCGCCCAAGTGCAGCTGGACGCTGGCTCATACATTCCAACTCTCCACGCCTACACTGCCAAAACATGATCCATACCGCAAACACAGGGCACTCGGGCGCCACACTTCCTGCGACTTGTTCCTGTGCGCGGCATCGTCCAGATCTTCTAAACCTGGGCCAGGTCGCATCCTCCACATCCACTGCAATGTTTGCGTCCCGTGCAGGTGAGCTGAATGTCTCAGGCCGTTGACTCCAATGGGATGGATCTTTGAATCGGCAACCAGAAAACCAAGTTACGGAAACCAGTCGGGCAAATCGAAGCCGCCCACGGGGGATTTGCAACGAAAACCAGTGCCTCAACCGAACGCAGCCATGTCGGTATCGTCCGCAAGTTGCTGGCCATCAAGTATTTCATGTGTTACATTTGCCGCATCGTTTCTGGTATGAGTGTTCTCCTCCGTTCCAGCAGCTTCTTCCGGTTGGGGTTTCCCTCTTTCACTTGCTATCTCAATCTGTCTCAAGTCTCACGTTCGGCACGTATTGTTCTGGAGCTTCCCAGAAGAGTCCAGGTGATCACTGGCCGTGGTAAACATCCCCATTGTGCTCTGAACAACTTTCCCGAAACTTAATCTAATGCTCTACAGGTTCTGAAGATTGTTTGAGCTCCAGGCGAAGATGCCCGCCAGTGTCTTGGCCTAGGCGGCTGCCTGCCAACCCCGCCGAGAACCTCATCGACAGTCCGGAAAAGCCTGGGCCTGCGCCGCCTGCGCCGCCTGCGCCGACTGCGCCGACTGCGCCGACTGCGCCGACTGCGCCGACTGCGCCGACTGCGCCGACTGGTGCGACTGGGTCTGGAGCTTCGCCCTCGTCCTCAGCTTGTCGAGTTCAGGCTAAGGCTAAGTAAGGGCTAAGGCTATGCCAAATCCAAAACGAGTGTGGTTGAATCGTGTGGCCTCGAAGCTTCGAGATTTCGACGGCGACAGTCCACCTGAAAAGCTGCTTCGCCCATCAACACTTCCCGACATGTGTACGTCCCGCGGCCTGAGCTGCTTCGTCGACTCAGCTGCTTCCGAATCCGAATCTTGGAGGCGACAGACCCTCCTCGGAATCCTTCTGCTCCGGCCGGCACTCCGGCCGCTCCGACCGGCTTGGAATCTTCCGAATCCCTCGGGTCCGCTGACTCTTCTGTTTTTCTCAAGAGTCGGGCTGCCAGAACCGCTCGCTTGATGCTAGCTCGACTCGCCGCCATCTTGCTGCTTCTGCGCACCTCTGTGTCATTCCTAAATACGCACACGAGAGCGGCCAGCCATCGTTGCACTGCTGTCCGGCCAATTGTCGTGCGAGATGGTCCAGCGTTTCCACATCTACGAACTTGGAACGGGTTATCTACATGTCTCTTCCACTATCAGTACACTGAGTCGTGGGCTCGATCATACCATGCAGCTGAGCCATGACGGCAGAGACGTGGCCAGGCTCACCCAAGTTCGGAAACGATCACCAACTTCCCACAACATAAGCCGGAGAATCTCCTCTGCACAACACGAACCTCTGACAAATCACGGCGTCCGCCTCTGCCCTGCACAAGAACATGCCACGAGCAGCAATGATGTGCAAACCGGAGACGCTGATGCGAAGCATCTGCCTTGGCTTTTTCCGCTTGCTGTGCTGGTGGGTCCTTCTCCTGCTTCTTCAACACGCACACTTCCGGTACAGAACTTCATGCGAAGGGCACAGCAGAGCCAGCGACAAGGAGTAGTTACGACGCAGGGTTCAAGATGGCGCAGGTATGTGAAATCACAAAGAAGAACAGCCCGGAGCATCATCAACAACAACAACAAACCAAGAAAAGAAGAGTCACAACCTACTGATGGAGAGTGCCGCACTGCTGCACCAGGTAGCAGTTACAGTTGTCAGAGCAATGACTAACTGCTCTGAAACAGGTCAACATCATGTGACATGAGGTTTCTCAATTCTGGCTTCTGCCCTCGCCGCCACACTCACCTACCCACCCTTGCTCCTGCCCACCTTCCTCTCGCTTAGCTCCCTTCCGCATCCGCCATCGTTGCGGGCAAATCTCTAATGTGCCAGCGAGCACTCCTTGCCATCAGTTCATGTCGTTTCTGTTGCACATCCCGTCAACCTTGGACATGCTGTCGCACGGGCCATCAAGAAAGGGTGGCGGTGGATGGTCATGGTAAGTGGAGGCCTGCCAGTACAAAGCTACGTCGGGAGGTGACAAAATTCGGCATAAAGATGCGAGCAGGTGATACCAGGAAAGAGTATGTGCAAGGACTACATGGAAGTGCCATCGGAGGGTTTAGACGGGACACCACGGTCTCATCGCGCCGTGCATTGCTGTTACAGTCCGGTGGCTTCGAAGGCACTGGTGTTATCTTTCTGACCCAGGAGGACCCACTTGTGGGAAAAAGCAGCGCTTCCGAAACACATGTCAGCTGCCCACGAGTTAGCCCTTCCTAACTGGTAGCTTCCTCAGCTGGAAGCCCTTCACACATCCCTTGTTGATCTTGAGTGAGATGGGAAGCTGCCAGGACAGCCTTGGGGAATTGTTGGACTGCTGCTCGGCCCTCTCAACCTGCCTTGGTTTGTCAGCGTCATTGAGGTCGTCTGACATGCGGGCACTGACAGCTTCGGACAACAAGGTCAAACGAGTGATTGACTTTGTGGCCCTACAAGGCTTCATGGCACGTCAATGTACATCAAAACGATCCTCGCGAGGCACCTCCTCCTTCTTGCTGCCACCCTGCATGCATCTCGGAATGAATACAACACTGTGGCTGAATGGTTACACCCCTTGCCTTCTTCTTCTCTGCTCGTTTTTCGCGGAATGACTGGGCACGGCCTTCAAACGCAAGAAGTCCCAGTAGCCCGGAAGCCTTAAGCCTTCTACATGCGGCAAACACCACTTGATTGAGCTGAGCATCAACTGCAACACGACTTGTGCAGCAACGAGTTCTCTTGGCACCCCGACTCGCATCATACCTGAATTGGGACTCCACGTACTCCTGGCCATGCTGGTCACATTTGCACAAGAACATCGAGTGCCAAGGCAGACACCTGTCTGCATGCCGGACATTTGCCGTTCATCTGCTCCATGATGTAATGGACGCAGAACAAGCAAACCTTTCCGTGCAAACGTGCGAAGGCTTGCAGCATGCAGATGTCAATGCAGAGCGAAATGCAGCTGGGCCTGGTAATTGCAGGAACAAGGAAAAAAGGAGATGTCCGTCTCGTCCATCGGCTGCATGCATAGGGGGCATGTGTCATCCTCCGGGAAAAAAGCAACAGTCTCGAAGTCCTACTTGTCCTTCATATAACACATGAGATGCGCCATGCATTCTCGCAGCACGCATAAGATGCAAACTTAGGCATGTGCAAGCACTAGCAAATCAACCAACTTGCAGTGGCCCTTCCCTACACACATACAGTGGCTCCTCCACACACACACACACACTGACACACACAAACACACACGCACTTGGATCGCCGGGTTTTTTCCAGGTTGCCACTCCGAAGCGTCCAGGTTCTCAATGCTGGAGCGTTTAGGCTCCAACGGAGGACGAATGATGCAAGACGCCTCCTCATCATCATCGCCCATCACCAAGCACTTCTGCAACTGCAAGTGCTTGGCGAGTGGGCACCTAGGCAGCAGGCTGACAGTGTGAGTATGCTTTTCGCCACTGAAATTCTCCGCTCCATCTTGGATAGCAGCCCTTGCAGCAACGGCGGATGGTAGGGATCGGCATTCAGGGTGTTCGTCCGCTGAGCCAAAATGCAACGTCAACTTCAAGACTGCGATGAATGCTGTGAAAACAATTCACCGATTCCGAGGCTCCTCAACTCACAATGGAACATGTTCACAACATGATACCACGCTTCGGTCGCTGTTTTTGGATCAATCCAATGTCATATCTTCTCTAAGATGCCGGAAAACCAGAACTTACAAGCCAACAGGCTTCCCTCCCACCAGACACAACAAAAAATTCGGACGTAAATAGGGCTAATATAAAGTACTATTACTCAAACAACTTTGATTCTTTGCAAACAACCGCTCAAACAACGATGACCAGATCTTGCGAAGATGAGTGCGGCACTGTTGTTTGAGTTGTTTGGCCACCTACTAGTCTGCATTCACCCGGAATTGCAAAAAACAATAGCACGGACCGCGCAGAACTGATTCTTTTATTGGTCGGTTTTTTCCATCCGACGGTGCAAAGAAAATTCGTGTGAAACCAACTTCTTCGACAAAACCCGGCAATTAACAAGACACAGAGTTTCAATGTTCTGAACAAAAGAATGAAGCCGTTCTTCCAAAATCTCACTAAACTCTGAACTCTACAGTGCTGCAGTGCGGCCGAAAAGTGACACCGCCACTCCCTAAACCGAAACTCTACGTCGACTTAAAACGAAATTTATTTTTCTCTGGTGTTTCATTCCATTAATTCCTTTTTTTTCATAAAGATTTCCAGTCGGTCCATCAAATCTGACAGAATATGGAAGGACCAGTTCTTGTAAAATAACACAGCAGTGCAGAAATATGGAATGCGAATCAAAACTGCGCACACAAGACAGCAGATTGTCGTCAAGATTTATTTGGGCTCACGAAAAGTGTTGACACCGCTCTGCACGTCAGGCTTCAGCTCCAAGTCAAACCAAGCAAGCACAAGCACTGAACTCTCGGACACTTTTTCTCACACTCGCGGTCTTGAGCCGAGGTCGTGTCAAGTAACTTGCAGACTCTACACGGCTTCCCTGGCAAACTCCAACCACTTCAACTCACTCAAACAAGCTGCGCGTCAGTAGCT